GGAACAAGTTTGAACCCCATAATATACACAATTTTCCTCAAGAATGTTTTCGTGCATTATTTGTGATTGTCAACCAGCATGAAACGTATATATAATATGTGTTATTAACTAGTTTTAATGGCATGAAAGTTAAAACTACATCTATCTATCGATGTCGAACAATTATTCATAGTTAAACATAAAATTCATAAGAATCTCTAGTGATATAACTTACTAATAACAATATGAATTTAATCTAATAGAATTCTATCAAATATGACAGTTGAACAAGAACACATTATTTTAATAGTTGAATTCATGAGTCAATTGAAGCTAAACCACCATAAAAAACCTGGAAACACTGGATGGTCGTTTCTTCGTAGTATGGGATTTTAGTTGCATCTGAACAATATTGAGTTTAATTTCTTAGGTTTTTTCACAAGTAATTAAATAATCTAAAAACTATATGTGCCGATAACAGATAGCAAGGGAATTGATGATATGCATTTTATCTTTTCTTAGGGGCTTATCAGTTGGATTTCTCTAGATCTTAGTGGTAATGTTTATGCCAAGAGTAGAGTCTAGTGTTCATTAAGTTGTGTCATAACAGTTTATCCAATTTTATATGATACCCAATAAATTCATCAGTAGATAGAATGTTTATTATTCATAATAATAGTAACTGTAATAATCAACTTATGATTAAAGGTTTTGTTTAGGAATCTAGTCAAATGGTTTATGTGGTAATAGAGACTGATAAAGTTCAGTCCAAAATGCTTACACTTACAAACAATCACAAATATGAATATTGTTAAACTTTCTCAAAGTCTGAATAAAAAAAAAACACTGAAACAATAACTAAACCTAAAATGAAATAGTAATATTTAATTAAGAGATAAGGCTGTCAGTAATTAATGTTAAAAAGTATTGATGTTTAGTAAATAAATGCTACCATAATATTTACAGACTAATAAGCCTAATATGTTGTGAACTCATTCAACACTGTACAAATCTGTTTACTTTTTTGATTCTGTGCAAGAAGAAATAAACATATGAAAATTTGTTGTTGTTATTTTTTAAAGAAAACAATATGAATCAAACTATTAAACGTTTATTCACGGTATTCGACTGTTTATTGAATATTATTGCCTGTGACTATGGACTTAAATGTTGTTTTCTTCTATGTAGAAATAATGGGCTTCAGAATGAAGAGTTTGAAAAGTCATGTCTAAGTGTACATATGCTTAAGATGTAATCTCTTCACTTACTTACTTACGCCTGTTACTCCTCGTAAAGGAGCATAGGCTGCTCACCAGCATTCTCCATCCAACCCTGTCCTGGGAAATCTCTTCAATTATATGTTAAGATTCTGAACATGTCATTATCGCGAAAACTTAAGGGTGTAAAACTATGATTAGTTTTGTAATGACAAAGGAAGTATCATGATGAAATACTATATCACTTCTTGAGTAGTATCTTATAAGTTTTAAGGGTTTAGAATGATTAACACTTCATTTACCATTACAAATTTTAAGTATAGGAAATATACAATAGATCTTCAACGCATGATCAATTAATTTCTATCATGAAATATTAGTTGTGGATTAAATTATATTATGAGTTGATTATACTAAGAATAGCTAAATTATAAAACAATGTTTATAATTTACTAAAGGTTTATAAACTCCTTGATAAAGAAAATGTTTTTTTTCAATCCCAGCATCATTGTCAGTTACAACGATGTTATTGTACTCTATATTTTATAACAACATATCAACAATCAACCTGAGGTTGTACATTTTATTAAGTTTTTGTATAAACTAATCGTTAGATAAGAAGTAATTTCATTGGTAAACCATCAAGAAAGGGCCAACAGTTGGTTGAGCCAATTTTCTCAATATTCGACTAAGCGAATTAATACTGTGACACTGCATATTTCATGAAAAATAATTAGTATAACCTCCAGTTGCTAAAGATTCTTATGACAGATCACGACAAAAATGAGAAACAAATCATTTCAATGAATAGTAAAATAAAATAAAGCTAAGATATAACAATCATATTTGAAATAGTCCTAACAACTAAAATTTGAATAAAAATGATTCGAGTCTCATGGTGATTAGTTTTTTTTTTAACTGTTTGTTCAGATTTTGATGAATGTTTACTCAAAACACCATAGAGTTGAGAAATCAATCATATAAAAAAAGACTGACAAAATGTGATAGACAGAAGTAAATAGCATAAATTACAGGCTCTCTATTTATTTTATTTCAATCAACTGGTTGATTCTGTTAGTTTGAAATAAGTGTTGTTATCAATTCCCTAGTTAGTACATGACTCTCCTTGTGAAAATTAAAACAACATATAAGTAAACAAATTGATTGTCATCAGGCTTTACTCTAATATACATGATTATTATCATTATTATTATTAATAGGATGGAAAAGTGAGCTCTCTAATTCTGACTTGAAGGTATATAAATGTGTCATATTCACCACGAAATTTTTAACGTCTCATTAAGATCCCTGAAATGGTTGTAGTGATATAATAAATGATTACTACTGATTAGTCCTAGATTAGAACGTATTAACTACTAAGTGCTCCCTAGTTTCAGTGGTTTTCAAGACAACATTATTCTAAAATGAAAACCTTAAATCTAACAATTTTTAAAAACATCTTATTTTACTGATATCAATGTAGTTCTATCTTTACTAACGAATGACTAACTTCAAGATGGCTCCTCAAAGTTTTAATGAATTGGTGATCTTTAACCAAAACGAACATTTATTTTAATGAAGTCAATTATAGGAAACTATTCCATAAGTTAATCAAATAACCAAAATTTATATTTAATTCAGATTTTACAACTAACAACACATTACCCATTATAGATATTCATTAATAATGATGAGCTAAATTTTATATTTAGTTCATAGTAATTATTTTAACTTAAAATTTTCAATCCATTGAATTCAGGTCATATTGTAATTGATTGATCACTAGGTGATGATCAATGTCATGTTTATTAGGTCTTTTTTAGTACAGATCGAATCCTATCAACCAAGTTGTAATGTGGTCACTAGTCTAAGTAACTCGACATTGTATGCACTATATTGAGATAAGATGATGGTTGGAGTTAGTCAACAGGAAATCGTAGATACGCAATTTATTTAAATCTAATTCATTTCAACTGTTAACAGTGTAATACTTTACTTAATATAATATCACATTTAAATTGAGAATGTTCATGTAGTTTAACTAAAATTCTAACAACCTATTAGAATCTTAGGAAACTATACTATTCAGTATTGTATGTAATGAAGGATCATTGTAGGTCAATATCCAATAAATTAGTTGAAAAACTTCACACTCTTGAATTCACAACATGTAAACATTGTTAGGAGAACAGTAAACAAGCTAAAACTTAGAATCCAATCCAAGTTTTATGGATTAACTTTGTACAACTCGTCTGTTTGAAAGACTAGGATTAAATATGTATCACTCCAATTTGGTAACAATTATTTATTTAGTTGATGGTTTACTGCCTATTAAAGAACATTATTTTTTAATCATTTTTATCAATCATCAATGACCAACATTAAAATTTATGTTAATGAATACTGAAACTAAACAATTCATTTCAAATTGTAATGATTTTAAATATCTCATTTTCAATATTTTGACCTTATTTGGTATATGTAAATCCTCTATGTGATCACCTATGTATCCATTATATCACAAGTTTATTTAAAATAAATGGAATCTAGCTAGCAATGTAATCGATTATGGTCGTTTTGTCCCATTTGTAACTCATCATCTGGATGTATCTGAATCCCAGAGTTAATGTTCATACTGGAAAAGCACGGTCGGCGTTTGAAGAGTAAGTTACTGGGTTAAAATCTCAAATCTGGAGTTCAAGTACATCCAGTCGACGAATATGAAGTAGAATGAAATATATGTTCTCAATTACATTGCTAGTCAGATCTCATTTATTCTATATGAACAATTCATATTTTAAGACTAAATTAGTCTGTAAGTTTAATTATTGTTGACAGATTATTTGCAATTGCAAACTAGACACACTTATTTCTTCGGTAGAATAGTTCTGGTGAACATGTTTAGCTTGATGGAAAGATTTCTACTAGCCAGAACGATAAGAACAATTTGACAATCAACATTTTAAATTTGTCACAAAATTTTCTCATTCTTTAAATCAAGGTAATTTTTTCCCGTAGGATATGAATAGTATTTTACGGCAGAACAATTTCCTTTACAAATAATCACTTACTGACATTTCGAAATTTCACAATAGTTGATCAAATGAAAATTTGTTCCGAAATATATTTGAGGGTAATTCAGATTATAGCTAGTAAGAGATTCCAGAACTAATGTTTCGTCCTTCTTAGGACTCGTCACTTGGATTCTAATCACAGCCACAATCCAAAACACATAAGTAACTTGTAACTATAAGACAACATCTAGGGACTCGTTAATGCAGTTTATTTATTAACAGTGGTTCAATGAGTTCCATTTTTAAATAGCAACAATGTAAAAACACAGACCATGTGAACAATCATATTTGAAACTGATTTTCGTCATGGGTCGATATTAACTGATGAGCTATTGAAGTATTCGACAGCCGTCAATCACATTGTCCCTTAAGATAGTTCATTATTGAAGCTAACTTCAAACTGAAGTAATCTCCACAAATCAACCAGATATCAAATAATATTCCAGATGCTAGGTGACAGAATACAGTTAGTATGAAAATCCGTGTGACACTGGTTTCGTCCTGGTCTATACTGGTCAGAAAAGTATACCTACATTCTTAAAAAGTCTAATACTCCCAGTGAGATTCAAATCCACTCCACCCTATTCTCCAGTCTAAGATGCTACCAATCAACTATTTTTATTCCGGTTGACTTGTACGGTTTAAATACTCATAGAGATTGGCTACTACTGAGTGATCAGTCACAGTAACTAAACTTTACATTTGATACTCATAAAATTGTATGACTCACCTCATATTGATCATATTTTTTTTTACTGTGCCGATGAAACCAACGCATGTTTTTACTGTCTTTATATTATTCCTTTTGATATCCTCACTCAGTTAAACACAATGAGAGAAGTTGAAAGAGTAGTGAGTCAAATTAGATCCCGTTCGAAAAAACCAACACAAACAGAAATGCACATACAGGTAGAATCACTGAAGAATTCTATGAATTGTCAAACTATTGTCAAGTATCAACTTCAATATATGATACCAAAAAAAATTGATGTGATTGTTTCTAGAAACCTAACAAAATATCACTTAATGTTTGTTTTTTTATCTTTTCAAGATTCTTCCATGAAATAATTTTTGAATGAAGTCAATTCAGTGTTTAAATCCAAATTCTTCAACACTTAATTATGTGTATACATAATGCATTTTCACACTTTTGGAATATCAAGAATATAATTTGTAAACTTGGTCGAGTTGTGTCCAGTGAATAAATAGTAATACCATTTTTTTGTTTGAATGAGCTAACCAATTTTTTCAGTAATTTATCAGTAATATTGTTGTGTTATTCTGTGTATTAAGATAATTAATATGATAGACTCAGCATTCTTTTGTAATAGAGATAAATTTCAAACCATCTCAATTGTGTATGAATGGTTGGCATTGTATAAATCATTTACATTGAAGAAACTATTCTCATTGAAATGCACAATGCCATATAGATGTGTGTGTGTTTGTGTGTGCGTATACACGTTGGTGTTTGCGTGAGTGAGTGACTGAGTGAGTGGGCGGGTTGATAGTTTGTTTTAAATTGGGTATTCTAATTTAAGGAATTAAAATATAAACAATTCGTTAAAGATTGAAAGTCTCTGTTTATTGTTAATCTTCATATATATAAAACAAAAGTGCACACTACATTCTATATTCATTTATAGTTTTGCATCATTTTCATTTGTGTTGTCATGCAACTCATTATCGTTATCTATTTGTACATGTATGAGTTTTATACCACAACCAACTGACTAACTGACTGACTACAAACAATTTATCATTGGTTTAAAATTTCTCATTCAAATCGATTTTAATTCTTTTCTTTTTTATTGTGCGACCGAGAACGTTCTAATAAGAGCTAGTTTGATTAAACAAACTGTTATCTAATGTTGAAAAAAAAATGTATTGACTATATCCAGAGTAATAATTTATATTGGATAAATAATGCTCATTTGATAATCGGTGAAATATGATAGAGTAATTCAAGAGTAGATATTTATCAGTGGTAGTGTCTACGACTTCGATACTGGATGGCATCGACCTATGCACCACAGAAGTCAATGAAGATTGTAGAAATTTCTTGTTAAAGCTTGCCAACTAGCATAGAAATTAGATCGGCCAGAACTACCTACCGATTACTTTGAATCACAAATACTTCCCAGATTTTTTAGTGGTTACACTCATTTGTCTATGAAAAATGTATCAATCAGATGTGATCTTATTATTCTACACTGGTCCTATGGTTTTATATTACCATTCTTTTTTCACGAAACAATCAGTCAGTACGTGGATTTATTGAAGAAACTAAACTATTCATTAGGATATCGAAATTTACATAATAATAGACAAAACTAATGACTTTCTTGTAAATTTTTCAGAGGCATTTACTCCTTTGACTACTTAGAAAATTAATATTTAGAATTTACAGTCCACACAATTCATTAACATAGAGTTATCTATTCAGATTTTAACAATTGTCAATTCACAGCTATCCACTATCGCCTCTATTCTATGTTTTATATCCATTCACATTTCAGACCTATCTTTCTCACTGGTTTATCAGTTAAAGTTAGTCAGTTCAAGAAAAGAATTATCTGCAAGTTAATCAATTCCCTTGTTGTCCCTATTTGTTATTTTTAGGAACTCTAAACCCATATTTAAATATTAATAGTATAGGAATGAGCCTAAAAAGAATAAACTGTCAGAACTATCCTGCCTGGAATCAGTGTTAATATTTTTATCGTATAATTATCAAGTACTTAAATTACCGTATTCTTATATTTCTTTGAATATTACCATTCGCTTGACTTATAAACTGTTGTTATATGTCGCACATTCTTGGAATCATACTAGATTCTGATTGAGACAATGAATCGATCAATGTTCGACCTCCACTGAAAACCTGGAAGTACTGGACGGCTGTTTTATCCAAGTTTGGGACTCCTCAGCAGTGCGCACCTACGACTCCGTACCAGGATTCGAACTCAGGACCTTCGGCCTTGCTCATGAACGCTCAACTTCTGAACTAAATTGGTTACGGACTTATACTCGGTTTCTATTCACTTATATTTGTGTTGATATGTGATTAATAACTGATCTATACAGTCCCATGAGTGCATGACTTATGGGGACAACAGATAAACAATAGAAAGTTACTGTGTTTGTCACTTCAATTTTCTGTTTAGACACTGGGTTCAAATGAGTTTATATGCAGACAAAGGTTACGATTCTTCTATTATTCATAGCCACTGAGCTATTAGTTGACAGAAGGTCAATAAACCTACAGCGGATCAAATAATTCAACAACTCCTATGATTAGACGGTTTGATCACACGGACGGAATGTGACATAATAATTCATTGCTTTTGCAAACAATAACAATTTGGATTTTTGTCAAACTAAATTTAAAACAATGTATGAGTTTACACTGACAGATTACTTAGTAGTAGCCTACACCATATTTGTCTAGTCCCTTTGTATTGATCGAGTCCTCTTAAACAAGTTGCAATATGGACACGAATCTAAGTGAATCAACATCAGGTGGACTATATTGACCTGGGTTCCACATAGGTTGACGTTCTTCAGTATGGCACACTTTCAATCTTAGGGGAATTGATGGACCCTTATCAGTTTGCTTAATTTTCATTTATGAGACTTATTTCGTTTTTGACTATGCCTAAATAAAGCCTGGATCAGCTAAGTTTTCATAAATAACGGAAGTACTCAACTTATTGTTAACTATATAAATGCATAGTTCCCAACATTCCCACTGAATATGCCTAAGCTATATTTCAACAATTCTAAATAGATATACACTATCCTCGTTTTGCTTAAATCATAAAAGAGAAATTCTCTAACCAACCGTCATTCACTAGCCGAAAATTTATAATAATTGAATACTTTTACCATATGCTTGAAATAACCAGGTAGAAGTGTCTGATTCAAGGTCTGATTAAATAATTTGAAAGAATTTAACCATTAGTTAATTATCAGAAATTTGAATTTTTTACTGATTAGAAAAAGCAAAACAAAAGAAATTGTCTTTACTAACTTTTTACTATTTAATGCTAATAACTTCATTACATTAAAGGTAAGAGTTTACAAAAATACCACCTTCCTCGAGTATTTCTATTGGACCACGGAGAGTCAGTCAGTCAGTTAGCTGCAATGTAGGACCGGACACATATATGCATCGGTCCAAGTTGACATACCTCATTAACACAACAAGATGAACACCAAACTCATAGAAGTAGTTAACTCAATGGTATAATATATAGAGGAAAGATTACATATAAGGACATAGTACAGGAAGAAAGATTTAGTACGTAGAAAGAAAGGTATGAAGCGATTTTAATCTCTTAGTTTAAAGGAAGAAAGAGAGTGTATACACCCACACTATTGTGATCGATTCTGAGCCATGTCACACACAGTCTTCAACCATTGGTTACGATAGTCACGCGGACCCCAACCAAGTAGTCTACATCTACCAACATGGCTCAAACTAGAAGTTAGTCACTTCAAGGACTGACACCACATTTTAGTTTGGCCGCCCCTAACTTTTCTCCAACCATCCCCAACACTAGTCAGCATTGCTTGTCGTAGTAATCGGTGTTCAGGTATATGTAACACGTGGCTCAACCATCTCAGTAGATGAAGATTTACAACCTCATCAACTGATTTACCATCATTCCCTAGTACCCTGCGTCTAACCCCACCGAGAAATTAAATAGAAATAAAAAATATCAAAAAAATCCCGTTTACACTCAAGAACACAGTTAGGGAATTCGAGCGGGCGAAGTTTTGCTATTTTGTCATTCGTCATTCCCAATTTCATTGCAATCATAAGTTTGTATACAGTAATATGAAAGCTTACAGGAGAAATCCCAACAGCCCCAAAGTAAAGGATACGTGTAAAAATTTTATAATGCCATTTAGTCCAGAATTCCATCTAAATCCAGTTGTTTGGCATTTATATTTTCCAAATAGATGGACGGATATTGAAGTGTAGTTGATGAGAACATGAAGCACTACCAGGAAAGCAATTATTTGGCTTATCACAATAGTTCATGGGTGAGGAGGCTAACATAACCAGAGTTCTAATCTATCAGGCGTCTGCTGATTCTATATGATTATTGTGAATAGCGCCTGTTTCCACGTATACAAGATGAGGTTTTAGTAAATTCCAGTTTACTGTTAATTTAATGAAGTTATCAACCTTAAGTAGTATAGGCTTATTTTAAAAAAATACAAATTTCTACGGATAATAATTTAATAAGAATTGTATCGTGGTCAAATAGTTTCTTTCAGTACACTCAAAATAGCACATTTTCGATGAACAAATTGTTGAAGATAGATCATTTTTCATGACAATTTATTCATCATTACTCCAATTAACATGAACTTATTCAATACACCAAATATACTTCTCAAAACTTTTAGGTCAAGTATAGCTTCCTGTCAATCGTAAGATTCTACTTATGGAACATTATAAGTTCAGCTACAAAGTTCGTGATGTTACTTTCTCTAATCTGGATGGTTTCTAAGTAAATAGAATTGACCTGTTTAAAATTATATTTAAAATGCTGAAACAATCCTTTCTACTGACCTTGTTTGTGATTGGTTGCTTTCATAACCTTTGTTCTACATTCTCATTGATTATTCTTTTCTAGGTTGACCTTTGATTGATTGACCTCATCTACATAAGTTGGTAGACTGAATCTTAGTCAATCTGCTTATTGATTGCAGGTTGATCTAAATGTTGCTTTTAGAAGTTCACTGGGATTATAAGTTTCCTTATACCATTTCACTTCTACTTTGAAGTAAGCTCCGAAAAACAGAAAAAGGTTTTTCGTTAGAGAATGTAAAATTGTTATAAAAACTATTCACCTGACTTATAAATATTAATGACTACTGAAATATTTTGATCTGAATCTCCAAATCACAATTATTCCATAAAAAAAATCAATGACTATACATATTTTTGTTAGTCAGCTGATTAAATCAAAAAAGATCCTTATGATGATCACGATGCGTCATTTATTTTCAAAAGGATCTTGATGAAATTACCATTAATTTTATTCTATAAATTATTCATTCATTTAATCCTTTATTTTCACAGTATATTCAAATGAAAATTTTCTTCATGGAAAATAGATAACTTTATTTGTTTTGACATTTTGAAACTAACGGTACTGGGTTCGAGTCCCGGAGTGAACATCAACACTGTGTTGCAGGTATATCCAGATGACGAACCCCGAATGGGGCGAAACGCGTGTCCTGGATTTCACCGTTAGCCATTATCCATCTTTGCTTATAATGCTTGTGAATTAAGGCAATATCGAGTCAATCCACACAGTATGTACATATAGCAATAACAGACTAGTCAATTGCAATCTTAAACATCAGTGAGAAGATTCAAGTAAACAATACCAAGTGAATGTGTACCAAGAAGTTTTTTTATGTTATGTCGAATTCTAGCCTGGCTATCATCCCGAAAAAGTGAAAGAACTATATATATTATCTCACTATCATTATCTAATTTGATAGCAGAAAGTCGTTGGCACTAGATAGACACTGTAAGCGAATTATTTAATGCCCATACCAGATCAATGCAATTGCTTTCTTGAGCCACTTTTCGACCACACAGGTTCCAAAAATAACTCACAAGATCAGAAACAACCTTCCAAATTATTTTGATGAATTTATGAAGTTTTATAGCCACATAGCCTGTATCTGACACGAAGTCAGTAACCATTTGAGTTAGACATACAAATCTTTGAATTCCGACTCAGAGGACTAAGGGTTAAGGGCTTGTCTCAAAACTTGAAGGACCTCAATCTGATTCTCAGTAGGATTATGGATACTCACTGTTGAGGAGTGCCATACTACGATAAGACAGTTGTCACTAGTTGCCCTAGTTTTAACTGGTTGCAAGAATAAGAACTGGTCGTGACACAAATTATCAATCACCGTTCTTTGGGTAGATCATACTTTATTTCAGAAGCAAAACAGCAAACTTTTAACTAACAATACATACTGGGATACAACAAAAACATACTTTTTTACAGATTTAGTAAGCTAGGATTTTTTTCATACACATATGACCATTTCATTTCTTTAGAGTTGATCTTATGGGGAAAATCTTCCAGAAAACGATTGCTAATAATAAGATGCCGTAATGTTTTGATGTTAATAAAATATAAGCTAATATGATTAGTATGGATCCAGTTAGTAATCTAAGTTATCAGAGATATATTCTACAATATAGAGCACCATAGGTAAAGCATCTAGATGAAACTCCAATTGAATCATCCTAAAATTTATTCTAAAGTCAAGTTACTGCTTAGACTCTTTGGATGAGTCTGACACAACAATATCTGAAGAAGAGGTACTGTCCTCAGCGTGATCACATGATGAAATGATATTTTCAATCATTTAAGTTCTGCATATATTGTGAAGTATAGGTCAATATGGTCTCAGAGCGAAGTGATATAGATGTCTTTTGAGGAAACAGGCCAGGGAGTGCTTGAGGCCTTGTATAAAGAAAAATGGGACTGAGAAGATCTCGGATGTCCCGCGACATTTTCAAGAGAGTATTTCCAGTCGGCAATTATAGTGGATAATATTGCAGACAAAACTCAGTAGAATTGTCCAAAACCACTAACAATCATGTCTTAAATTGGTTCTTAATCTCCCTAGGTAAGTCTTACACACCAAGTATTCGAAATTTGAATACCATGTCTTATGATTGTAGTGTACATTTAGTAACAGTTTTAGCTAAGTTTTATTGACTAAATTATAATGTGTAAAAAAGTAACAGTCTGTTAAGACACTGATCAGTTGCAGTCCTTAACGTCAATGGGAAGATTCAAACAACCAATAAATACGAATCAAACTTCATCCTATTGCGCAAGTTGGTAGGTGCCTGGACTCAGTAGCTATGTAGGAGACACTATGGCATTTGAAGTGGACGATGACGGGTTTGGGTACCTGAATAAACATCAACACTGGAATGCAAATACATCTAGCTGACTAGTCCGAAATAGGAGGAAACGTGCATCTTAGATTCCATTGCTAGCAACCAATCATCTCTGCTTATAATGTTGTTTCATTTGTTGTCGGATATGGAAGTTTCCAGTGACTTGTCCTTTCTTCTTTGAAAAACAAAGTGATTAAGAAAGTGATTGAACTCAAATTAATAGTCGGATTTTACATAATATAAAATCAAAACAATATATACTTAACCATAAAATGTTTGTACGTGTCTTTTTTCATTTGTTCAGTGTTTTAGTGATCAGAACAAATGTTATAAATGGTTTATAATGAGTTTGCTAATCAAGATGGACTGTATTTTAGTAAATTATTCACTAACTGAATTGTAGTTGCTAATTCTTTGAAAATAAAATTCACAGAAAACACTGATAAGATATTTTTTGACAACAAATTTCTTATCACTTTCATCATCCGTTGTATAATCCTTTTATATCCAAGTGACAAACTGATTAGATCGGCCATTACTATGTGTATTCACAAATTGAACTTTTTATATGGGCACATCAACATTTACAGCAGATCCTGATAATTAGTTTGAGTAAACAGACGATAAGTTTAAAATATCAAAAGCCCAGTGAGGACATACATAGTTCTGCATTCACCATTATAGATAAAGTGTCAATAAATCTTTTGCAGTGTCCGCCTGGAGCCCCTATGGGGCTACTGCCGGTCCCAAGCCCGGGTAAAGAATAAAAGTTGGGAATGGAGTTAGCGACCTCATCCCGTAGAAAGATAACTCGCTAACAAAAGGCTAACCAGAAGAATTATTCAAACCTTTTAAACTCTACCCTGGGAGTCAGAAGGTCTTCATTTAGAAGATTTATGACGCCTCATGATGAAAGCCGAGTTCCTTCGGAAGTCACAAGGCCGATGCCCCTTCTGACAACCAGAGCGACCATTTATTTAGGTATATGGAATACTTGTACAATGTGGAAGACCGGGAGAGTCTTCCAAATTGCTGCAGAAATGAGGAGATACAACCTAGATGTGCTTGGGATCAGTAAAACACATTGGACGAAAGTTGGACAACAACGACTAACTTCAGGAGAGCTTCTGTTATACTCCGGCCATGAAGAAGTAAATGCCCCACATACACAAGGAGTTGCATTGATGCTGTCCAAACAAGCACAAAATGCACCTATAGGATGGGAATCTCATGGACCAAGGATCATCAAAGCCTCCTTTAAAACAAACAAAAAGGACATTTCAATGAACATCATCCAATGCTATGCACCTACCAACGATTACAATGAAGACGCTAAAGATCAATTCTACGATAGGCTGCAGTCAATCGTCGAGAAGTTCCCAACAAAGGACCTGACCATTCTGGTAGGAGATTTAAATGTCAAGGTTGGAATGGATAACACTGGATATGAAGACACCATGGGACGACATGGACTTCGAGAAAGGGACGAAAATGGTGAGAAATTTGCAAACCTATTTGCCTTCAATAAACTGGTCATAGGCGGCACTTTATTCCCACATAAACGCATTCACAAAACAACATAGACTTCACTGGATCACACAACGCAAAACCAAATCGACCATATCTGCATCAACAAAACGTTCAGGAAGACGACGGATGATGTGAGAACCAAGAGAGGAGATGATATACCATCAGATCATCACTTGCTGGTCGCCAAGATGAAATTGAAACTCAAGAAGCACTGGATAAACGGGCGGACAATATCACAAAAGTTTAATACGGCTTTTTTTCGGAATACTGACAAACTTAACAAATTCAAGATAGCCCTCAGCAATAACTTTCAGGCCTTTCATGATTTACTCAATGGAGAAGGAACTACTATGGAGAACAACTGGAGAGATATAAAAGAGGCAATCACATCAGCATGTCATGAGGTTCTGTGTCACAAGAACCACCATCACTGTTGATACACTGGATAATATTCAAGAAAGGAGGAACAAGAAGGCAGCAATCAATATCAGTCGAACAAGAGAAGAGAAAGCCAAGGCACAAGCTGAATACACAGAAGTAAACAAACAAGTGAAGAAGAGCATCAGAACTGACAAACGTAAATATGTGGAAGATCTAGCAATGACGGCGGAAAAGGACGGGAGAGAAGGAAACATGAGACATTTGTATGATACAACAAAGAAGCTGGCTGGAAATTATCGTAAACCAGAACGACCAGTGAAAAACAAGCAAGGCAAGGTAATCATCAACATTGAAGAACAGAGAAAAAGGTGGGAAGAGTACTTTAAGGAATTCTTGAATCGACCAGCTCCACTGAACACACCAAACATCAAAGCGATATACACGAACCTCCCAAACGATGTTGCCCCACCAACAATTGAGGAGATCAGCATGTCCACCAGACAAATCAAGAGCGGCAAACCAGCGGGACCACTAGCGGAGGCACTGAAAGCAGACGTAGCAGTAACTGCAAGGATACTCAACACTCTCTTCAACAAGATTTGGGATGAAGAATAAGTACCAACAGACTGGATCAAGATACCAAAGAAAGGCGATCTCTGCAACTGTGAGAACTACAAAGGCATCACTCTTCTCTCAATATCAGGAAAAGTCTTCAACGGGGTATTGGTAAACAGAATGAAAGACTCCACAGACACCCAATATCGAGATCAACATGTTAGATTCCGTATGGATCAATCGTGTACAGACCAAAACTCAACACCATGAATCACTGCGTAACAATCAACAGAAATGGAATTCATCACTGTACATCAAATTCGTTGACTTAGAGAAAGCATTTGATAGTGTGGACAGAACAACACTATGGAAGCTTCTTCGACACTACGGCCTGCCTGAGAAGATAGCAATGTTATACGAAATTCCTTTGATGGATTTTGTTCGCAAAATACTTGGGATCCGTTGACCAGACACTATC